AGGAAGGGAGGAAGGGAGGAAGGGAGGAAGGGAGGAAGGAAAAGAAAAAGAAAGAAAGAAGGAAAGAAAGAAAAGGCTGGATAATTGTGGACCTGATTTTAAACAGACAGACAGACATACCTGCACTATGCAGCAAATAACCTGGTAAAGATTTTTGTGATTCAGGTTACTAGCTCTTAGAGAAGGCATTTTCCACAAAATTCCAGCACATAATATCAAAAGTATGCAAAGCTCTAGAGGGCTGCCACCATGAGTCATCACGACACAGTCTGGAAAGAGCTGGCAAAGACTGCCTTTTATTTTTATATGAAAGGATATGTTTATTTCAGAAATTCGGGACTGCTGAACAATTTGAAAATAAAGGCTATTCACCACATTAACAGAATAAAGGCCTTAAATGATGACTTTTATAAGATTCATTAAAAGCATCGGATATATCCATTCACAATTAGAAAAAACATTCTTCGAAAGCTCCAGATGAGAGATGGGCTTCCTTCAGATGACACCGCAAGGATCATGCGTTGTGGAAAAAAACACCAGAAGCTTTGAAAACAAAATCAGACAAGCTCATGAGAATTGGAATGTAGTTCCGAGCCAGCAGACAGGGCAAGACCGTATTAGTTACAATACTCTGCCTAGCAAGGAAGTAATGATGGCCTGTGTGGAAACTCTCAGATGCAAAAGATTGGCAAGGGCCAGGGGATAATGTCAATATTCAAAATCACTTGTGGTTTTTTGTTTGTTTGTTTGTTTGTTTTTGTTTTTCAAGACAGGGTTTCTCTGTGGCTTTGGAGGCTGTCCTGGAACTTGCTTGGTAGACCAGGCTGGTCTTGAACTCACAAAGATCTGTCTGTCTCTGCCTCCCAAGTGCTGGGGTTAAAGGTGTGTGCCACCACTGCCCAGCGTGTTTTATACTTTATCAAAAATAATCGAGAAATGAAATTCCGAGAGAAACAAAAAAAACATTAAATCCTTAAAATGAAATCGACTATAAGGGTGTAAAACCTCTACAGGAAGAGTTATAAAATGTTAATATCCCCAAAACAAATGTTAGGAAAGATGGACGACTGGAAAACTTTATATTGCGAAAATATCAATTTTCCATGAATCTGCTCTATTTGGTCATTTCTATATTGTGTCTACAGAGAGAGATTAGCTATATTATTCTTTTGAATTGGTTTACTTTTGTTTTGAGACAGTCTCTCCCTCTTTATATAATCATCGCTGGTCTGAAACTTGCTATATAGATCAGGCTGGTCTCTAATTTATAGTAATCCTCCTTCCTCTGCCTACTGAGCGCTAGGTTTACATGTGGGAGCCACCACACCCAGTTGGATTCTGTTTTCTTTTACTGGAAGAGATCTTACTATTTGAAGATAACAGCACTACTATTGGAGGTACTGAGGTGCTTTTATGTCCACCTGATAAAAATCGCATTTGGAATAATGAGTGGCTTGTCGTGTACTAATAGTCTGTGTGGCCACCTTTTCTTTTTCTTGTTTTTTAAAGACTGTTTTAGATTTGTTTCTTTTGGCATCAATGTGTATAAAAGTTAGAGGACAACTCGCGAGAGTCAGTTCTTTCCTTCCAGTACGTGGGTTTTGGGGATCCAACTCAGGTTTTCAGGCTCAGTCACAGGTGCCATCTTATTTTTCCCTTTTTCAAAAGTATAAAATGATAAATAACTTTATGAAAATCCTTTAGAGCTATTCTTCCGGGAGATCAAGGATTGGAGAAGCCAGAAACATAGGACCAATAGGTCACAGAAGATAATCTACTACTAGATTTGGGGTTCATCTCTTATCAGGAAGTATCAGATACCCCATCCTCAATAGTATGAACAGGCAGTTGATTTCCTTCAGGGTTGAGTTCACATTTTCTTCTGAGTGACTCAAAGAGAGAAGATGCCTACTAAAATGGGTCTTTATATCTAGAATCGAGAGTTTGCCAAGATTGCCTGATTTGGAACAGGGCAGAGCTCCAAATGTATTGAGTTTGCCTCTAGCCCTTGCCAAAGTTGTATCAGGCTCTTTTCAAAGCCATTTTCATTCCATTTTACCAGCACTGTAGGTCACACACACACACAGTGGTACTTTGGGCTTTTGTAATCAGAAAACAGGAGTGCCATGCTGCCCCGGCAGGGATCCCTTACGGTGCTGAAGTTAGATGAGCCCACGCCTTGGCAAGCAGCCCCTGCTGGTGTGATGCAGGATTGGAGAAGAGCCCTTCCTTGAGTACTAGTGTAAATAGCCCTGCTGGAAACCAATTGGCCAATACACGGCTCTGTTGAAGAGGCTGAGAGCTTCTTCTTTCTTTCCACATTTCTGATGTATACCAAAGACAAGACAGACCGTGCTCTAGCGGACAAAAGGATTACCCTTGACCCCCTCCCTCGCCTCCATCACCCTCTCATTGGCCATTCACCTGCCTTACTCATGTGTTCCTTGAAGAAAATCTGCAATTCCATGTTGATTTAGCTATAGTGTTCTTTGCATGTATTTTGTTTGTTCCTTTGTTTCAGATAGTGTTTCGTGTATCTCAGGTTGGCCTTGAATTCATGATGTGTCCCAGGGTGACCTTGAGTGTCTTATCCTCCTGGCTCTACTTCCTGAGTGGTGAGATTACAGATGTATTCCATAATGCCTGGCATGTTTCTCTTGACCTTATTCTCCTTCTTGCTCTATCTCTTTCTCTCAAGAAATGGGTGAGTCTCCTACACTCCCAGGTTCATGTCATTCTCCTGATGCAGTTTCATGAGTGGCTGGGACTACAAGTTCATGTCAATGTGCCCTAGGTATAGTTGTATGGTACTTTTAATGTCTAAGTATTACGTTATATATATATATATATATATATATATATACAAGTTAATCTTCAGAAATGCCCATTTTAACAGTTTGAAGTATAGAAATCTAAATTCTTTTTAGAACTCAACCTTCCTCCACTTACAATTAAGTTAAAGATTTCCTCTACAAGTAAGAACTACAAAAACCAGTGCTATAATTATTACTTTAACTGTCAAACATTATTTTGAAAGGCCAAGAAGAGAAAAAAATGTCTATTGTATTTATTCCCTTTTACTCTGTCATTCTTCCTTCCTGATAGACTAAGACTTCTGTTGTCATTTATATTAAGATTATCATGAGCCGGGTGGTGGTGGCACACACCTTTGATCCCAGCACTTGGGAGGCAGGGACAGGTAGATCTCTGTGAGTTCAAGATCAGCCCTGGTCTACAGAGTGACTTCCAAGACAGCCAGAGCTGTTACACAGAGAAACTCTGTCTCAAAAATCAATCAAACAACAACAGCAGAAAGATTATCATGGTTAGTATTTTCTATGTTGGGAATCAAACCCAGGGTCTTGTGCATGTGAGGCAAGTTCTACCACTGAGCCCTACCTTTTTTTGTCAAAAAAGGTTTCTCCAGACATTCATTAGGATCTATATGTCAGCAGCAAATTCTATTCATTATTTTGGTTTTGTCATAAGAGAATATATCTTGATTTCCCCTTCATTCCTGAAGAATATGTTTGCAAACTATAAAATTCTACATAAAACACTGTTTTTGTTCTTGTTTTTATGCAGGGTCTATGTAACCCACATTCGTTTCTTACTTTGAGAGCCTCCTGCCTTAGACTGTCAACTGTGGGATTGCATACGACACCAACCGTGTCTGACTAAATTTCTTTTCAGCACTTGAAGAACATGGCAGTCTTGTACAGTCTTTGCGTTCTGATATTTTTCCTCTATAGATACCATGTTTTCCTCTGGGTGCTAAGACTATTTTATCCTAAGTTTTAGAAGTTTGGCTCTGTTAAACCACGGATTTTTGTTGTTTATCCTTTTAATTTTTCTCTGGTGTGCCAGGTAGTGGTCCACACAGAGGCTATCCGACCTCTGTGAGTTTGAGTCCAGCCTGATCTACAGAGCAAGTTCCAGTCAAGGCTACACAGACAAACCCTGCCTCAGAAAAAAAAATTCTCTGAGGTTCTCTTTTGTTTGTTTTTCAAGACAAGGTTTCTCTGTGCAACAGCTCTGGCTGTCCTGGAACTTACTTTGTAGACCAGGCTGGCCTCAAACTCAGAGATCCACTTGCCTCTGCCTCCCAAGGGAGTAAAGACATGCATCATCACTGCTCAGCTCCCTCAGGTTCTTGAATCTGTAGGTTTATGCCTTTTTGCCAAATTTCAGAAAATTTCAGGGATTAATTCTTTTACTACTATTTTGGTTCCATCTTCTTTCTCTCCTGAAACTCTCATGATGAAAAACTTAGATTTTAAAAACATTATATCCCATGTCCCTGAAGGTCTGTTCTTTTTCCCAGTCTATTTTCTCTCCTTGCTTAGAGTAACTTATATTCTAACCTCCAATTCTCTCCCAGCACTTTACATTCGGCTATTGAGTCTAGTTATTTTTACCTGACTGCTATTATAATTTTCAGTTCAAAAAATTGCATTTGAGCTTCCTTGAGACTTTCCTCCCCATTTGTTTCAAACAAGCATGCTTATTGTTTGCCAATGCATTTTTTTAAAATGACAGCTGTTTTTAAATTCTGGTCAGTGAATTCTAACAATTCTGTCATCTTAATGATTTGTCGTTTCCTACTCAAGACGAGAACTCCGCGACCCTTAGTATGGAGAGTAATTTTTTATTAGAGTAATTAATTATATTAGTCAAATATTATGTTTTAGCAGATCTCCCCAGATGCGGCTCAAACTACCGGACTAAGGGCAGGGGAGGGTTAAGTTCCAGAGTCTGCAATCAGCGTTTGCTGACGTGTGCGCACGCGCGCGCCTGCACCTGCGCCTGCGCTCCTGGACTGCGTGTGACTGCGGGGCGGGGCGGGGCGGGGCGGGACGGGACGCTGGCTCCACACTAGGCCTTGGCCGCCAACCGCCAGTCGTGGTGCTCTGCGGCGCCTCGGCATCGCCTCCAGTTATGTGGTGCGAGCCGGGAACGCGTCAGCGCTGCGAGCGGGGTGAAAGTTCAGGCTCTGGGCTGGGTGACGTCAGCGAAGGGGGCGGGCCGTCTCGCTAGTTCTCGGCGGAGGGGAAAGTCCGGGCTGTTTCAGTGGAACCCGGGAATGGGAGGCGCCTTAGCGTCCCCGCGGGCCTCAGCCTTGTGAATCCTGCCTCCCCGACCTCCCCGAGGCTAGGGGTGTTCCGGCCTTTCCTGCTTAGGGGTGGGTCCACACAGGCTTTGGGGTTTTTTCTCTCCTTGTAGGGTTTGGTTGAAATAGAGCAATCATCGTGCAGAGTTTTCTGTCCAGATAGACAGAGCAAACTTGGGTTTTTGTTGTTGTTTTTTACGGTTTTTATTTCTTTGGCTTTGTACAGTTTTTAATTTTTCTGGCTTTGCCTGCCTTTTCTGGGGTGCTAGCCAGTCTGGAAGCCCACAGCCAGGTCCAGTAGCCCTCTCAATAGCTCTGCTCTTCTCCACCTTATTTTATATCTAAAACTAGGCATTTTAGGTGTTCTTGGTACTGGGGAAAGTACATTCACTCCATTTTCCCAGAAGCACGGGGCCCTAACACTGCTTTTTTCATACGTCATCATAACACAGAACAGAAAGGATGTGTACAGGTTTGGTAGGCCTTTTCTACTGTACGGAAAGCAGTAAGTGAATAGGAAGGCATCTTAGAAAATCAGTTACTTATTTTTGTTTTGTGTTTTAAAACTTGAAAACATACATCCCTGCCAACAATTTTCTGTTTAACTGCTTTCAAGATTATGTAAGAGGAAAAGAACCGTGGCTTCAGAGAAAGGACAAAAAAGACGGCTCTGGGAGTTTGTGTGTTTTAACTAAGGATAAGGATGTATACATATTTAAAAGACATTATTACTGAAAAAATAAAATGTATGATTACATACAACACACGCATGCCACTACAGGATCACCACAATCAACACTGAACAACTCTTATCATCCTCAAAAATTTCCTAGTGCTTCTAGGAAATTCCTCTTCAGTCTTCCCTACCTAATCTTCACCTCAAGTAACCAGGGCGCTGCTATGTAGCCCAGGCTGGCCTCCAACTCACTGTTGTCAGGCTTCTGCCTCCTGGGTGCTGGGATTACCGGTTTGTCATACACACCCATCTCACTGGTCTGCCTCCTTGCACAAAAATAATTATGTATTATTTAGAGTTTTGTATAACTGTACTAGTAATTATTGACTGGCAAGTCATCCGTATCATTACATCTATTGATAGTTTTTCTCCCTTGTGTGGCTGTATGACAATTTGGCTATCCTTGTATTTGCGGATGGATATTCCAGTTGTTCCCAATTTGGTGCTGTTTTAAATAAATCGACTCTAAACATTCACATAAAATGTGAACTTTATGTGTAGTTCATGAATTTTGTGTAGTTTATGCTTTCTTTGCTTGTGGCTAAATTCGTTAGAATAAAATGGCTGAATCACGAAATAGGCACGTTTACCGGCTTTCTTTTCTTTTTTTCTGTGTGTATAGGTCAGAGGTTAACATGGAGTGTTTCTCAATCGGTCTCCACCTTACATTTTGAGACATGACGTGTCACTGAACCTGGAGCTCACGGATTCAACTAGACGGGGTAACCAGCAAGCCGTAGAGCTCCTCCCATCTCTGCCTCCACAGCGATGGGATTCTACGCATTTAGCACCATGCCCAGGTTTGTTATTTTGCTTTGGCTTTTGATGAGGTCTCAGTCTGTAGCACTGGGTGTCCTGGAACTCAGTATGTAGACCAGGCCTCTGCCTCCTGAGTGCTGGCATTCAAAGCATGTACCACTTATGGGCAGGTTTTTTACATGGGTCCTGGGAACAAACTTGGCTCCTCATGCTTACATAGCAAGCACTTTAGCAACTGGTAAATACTTTATAACATGATTATTTAATTTGACACTTGTACCAACGATGTAGGAGAGTTTCCATTGCTTCTATATCTTTCTTTGCCACACCCCCCAACCCCCTCAATGTCCTTGGCATTTTTACCATTATAATAAGTCAGAGTGGTATCTTGTGCTTTTTACATTTCTCTAATGATAGCAATGATAACAAGCGTTACAGTAGCCCAAATGTAGACGAAATCTAAGTGCTTATAAATCCAGAAATATCTAAAGAAAATGTGCTATAACAATACAACACTATTTCTTTCTGTGTGTATGTTTGTGTGTGTGTGTTTTTTTTAAGAAACTTTTGACACATGCTATAGCATGGATGAACCTTGAGGGCATTATGCCAAGTGAAATAACCTAGTGACAAAATGACAAATGTTATGATCACACTCAAAGGAGGTAACTAGTGTTGTCAAACTCATAGAGACAGAAAGCAGAATACTGGCTACTAGGGTGTGTAGGGAGGGAAGAATGGGCTTTGTTGTTTAATGGATGTAAAGTTTCAGATGAGACTTGGAACAAAGCTCACTAATAGAGCACTTGCTTAGCATGTCTGAAACCTGGGATTAATGTCCAGCAGCTCATGCACATGAACACACACACACACACACACACACACACACACACACACACACACACACACACACACACACACACGGGAGAAAGACAGAAAGGAAGTTATCTTTCAGTAAAGATTAATTTATTTTTATTTTAGGTATGTGTGCCTGAGTTGCAAGTGCCCACTGAGTCCAGAAGAAAGTGTTGGCTCCCCTGGAACTGAAGTCGCATGTGGTTGTGAGTCACCTGATGTGGTTCTGAGAACTGTACTCAGGTCCTCTGCAACAGCAGCAAGGACTCTTAACTGCTAAGCTATTTCTCCAGCCCATTATATGTGTTTTGGACCCTGAAATACATCACAGTGACTTTTGTTTAGATAACCAACTATCTTCTTAAGATAGTTACACAAATAAAAGATATTTTGAAAATTCTTATGGGGCTCAGGTGTGGCTCAGTGGTAAAATACTTGCCTAGCATACACAAAGCCATAGGTTCCATCCTCAGCATTGTAAAAATAAATAAATGATCTTATATTTAACATTTTTGTTAAGCGTTTCTGGCTTCATTCATTTCTATAGAATCAGACTTCCATCTGGTATAAATTTCCTTCTACCTGAAGGAAATATGAACATTTCTTGAACTGTAAATACTCTGGTGATGAATTCTTCCAGCAATTTCAGATGTGGAAGAATGTGTTCATCTTGCCTGACATTATGAAACATATTTTCCCGCATATAAAATTCTAATTTTCTTTATGTTTCTTGTGTTTGAAAGATGTTGAGTTCCTGTGATGTATTTATAATTCACATCAAATTTAAAATGCTTTGGCATGATTTTGTCCATTTTTTTATGTTCTCCTTCCCTTCATGAAGGAAATTCAGTTTTACTTTGATACATTACCAGAAAACAATTAAAAAGTAAAATATTTAAATAACATTTCATGTATAATATCATTAAAATCCTAAGTTACAGAAATTCAACCACTTGAAGTTGACAACATCTCATTGCTCAGAAATTTTTAAAAGATTCATTTATTTTTGTTTCATGTATATGAGTGTTTGCCTACATATATGTATATATACTACATGAGTGCCTGGTGCCAAAGGAGACCAAACATGGCCAATGGAGTCCCTGAAACTGGAGCTGGGAAACAAGCCCAAGATCTTTTCAAGAGCAGCCAGTGCTCTTAACCACTGAGCCATCTCTCCATCCCCAAGTCTTCATTTTTGTTTGTTTGTTTTGTTTTTTGAGATAGGGCTCCTTTGTATAGACCTGGTTTTCCTGAAACTTGCTATATAGACCAGGTTGGTCTCAAAATCACAGAGATCTGTCTACCTCTACCTCTCAAGTACTGGGACTAAATATGTGGGCCACCACCACCATCACCACCATCAATGCTCTTTTCATTTTTTTCTTCTTTTTTAAAGACTATTATTTTTATTTTGTGTGTGTGTGTGTGTGTGTGTGTGTGTGTGTGTGTGTGTGTGTGTGTGTGTGTTTTGCCTGCATGCATGTCTGTACTGTGCTGGTAGAGGCTGAAGAAGACAGTGCCAGAGCCCAAGGAACTGGAGTTACAGAATGGTTAGCAGCTAAGTGGGTGCTGGGAATTGAACCTGGGTCTTATGGCAGAGCAGTTGGTGCTCTTAACTACTGAGCCATCTCTCTAGCCCTGGGAAACACTTTCGAGAAACACCAAAGGAAAATGAAGTTAAATAACTTCATACCCACAAATTGAAAGCCCCAACAATGTTAATATGACAATTCCCCCTAAACTGATCTCTATAGAGTCAAGGTAATGCATATCCAGGTATCAACAGTTGTTTTGATAAATATTAAAAATCTAGTTCTAAAGTTTATATGGAAATGTAAAGGACCTAGAACGAGTAAAAAATCTTTTGAAAAAGAATAGACGAATATTTGTGGAGTAGCAATACAACAGGGAGATTGAACTGAGAGATGGAACAAACTCAGAAGATCCCTTGGATGACCATCTCTCACCCCAAGATCCCCTTAACATTCCTTCCAGAAACCATTGCTATCTCTTGGAGTTGCCTGTATGTATATATTGAAGTATGTAGCCATTTCTTGAAAGTATAAATGGAAGAAGTAGACTGCTTCCCTGCTTAGATGAGGCCCTAGGTTCAATGCCCAGAGCCTCTGAAAGAAAGGAAGGATAAATGGGATTATATGATGCACATGCTGAATAACTTATTTTATTCTCTTGACATTTTTGTCAATTTTGCCAATCCATTTGTGAGAGCATATGATGTGATATATATTGTCGCATAGGACATGCTACAGTTCCTTCATTCTCCAATAAAAATTCAGTTGTTTAGGGGTTGGAGAGATGGCTCAGAGGTTAAGAAATTCAGTTGTTTAAATGTTTTTGCCATTAACAATTATTCTCAGCCAGGGAGATGGCTCAATGGGTAAAGCTGGATCCTGGAGCCCACACGGTAGAAAGGAAAGAACTGACTTCCACAAGTTGTCTTCTGACTTCTATACACATTCATGGCATACTTACACATTGCACATGTTTTACACACACACCCCAAATAAACAAAAATTTATGCTGGCCAGTGGTAGCACATGCCTTTAATCCCAGCACTAGGGAGGCAGAGGCAGAGGCAGGCCAATCTCTTATGACTTTGAAGCCAGCCTGGTCTACAAAGTGAGTTCCAGACCAGGGCTACACAGAGAAACCCCATCTAGGAAAACGAAATAATAATAATAATAATAACAATAATAATAAAATTTTAAATTACTCTCCAAACAAGCTGGGTCAAATTATCTATTTTACAAAAACTTTAAAAGGTTACCTGATTCTCCTCATTCCATAACTCTGGATGTTATCAATATTTTTTTATTCATCTGATGTTTGAAAAATGTTTTGGATTTTTCTGGTGAGGTTGAGAGTCTTAAAATATTTTATTAGCAATATGGCTTTCTTCTTTTGTAAATTGCTTCTTCATTGTAAAAATTCTGTACCTTTTCTTCTTGATTTTTTTTCTTTTTTGCTAATTCATTCTTTAAATACTGTAGACTCAATCTTTTGTCAGTTCTGTTGAAGATACAAAACAATGGCCCTTAAAGGCTGGTTTCACAACTGAAAAGACAAAAGATTGCTTTCAGAGGGTGGCTTTGGTTTTGCTTTGTTTGTTTGTTTGTTTGTTTGTTTTTGTTTGCTGATACAGTGGCTCCCTGTGTGGCTCTAGCTGGCTTGAATCCCCCTGCCTCTTGCTTCCTGAGATCATACCACCACATCCAGCTGAAGGTTTTGATTTTAAAGTATCCTGTGGCTAACATCATTTTGAAACTTAAATGTATAAACCTCTCTGGATGGCTTCCACTTTTTAAGTCTTACTTAAGAAATTATCCCCTAACTTCCAGGCATAGTGAAGCAGGGTTGTAATCCTAGCACTTTGAGGTGGACACAGGGGTTCAAGGTCACTTGCAGCTGCGTGGGGAGTTTGAGGTTGGCTTGAGTTGCATGAGACTCTGTCTCAAGAAAACAAAAACCCAAACCAGAAACGAAATCCCAGGTCACACAGTCAAAAAGACATTCTTAGATTAGCTCCTAAAATGTTTCCCAGATGTCTTTTCTGTGCAAATAGAGGAAAGACCGTATAAGACAAAAACAGGATGACATCATGCATATTGCCTTATAACCTGTTGTTATGTAGCAATATATTTTGAACATATTTTCATTTGAATAAATATATTGCAAGTGTTGTGGGTGGGGTTTCCCGGGAAACAGACTCTGGAGACAAGAGATTTGTGTGCAGGAAGCTTATCCCGGAGTGCTTACGAGAGGAACGCGAGGCGTGGGGGAAGGGAGTGAGATAGGATTAGACTGGAGAGGACATTAGGCGGTGCTGCAGTCGTCACCACGGCTAGAGCTTGGCGGTTTAGAATTCCCTTCATCATTGTCCCAATTCGAAGAAAGAAAGCTGGGACATTTGTTTGATGCGGGCTGCCCCTGGGGAAGAGCTGAGGGTGTCACTGGGCAGGGCAACTGCCTTCTTGTGAGTATCATTCCCGGAGCCAGCAATTGGCGGCGCTTAGGGCTGTTGCAGGCTGGTAACCCTCCTGATAGCTAGGAGCCTTAAAGGAGGGAATCTGAACAGCGTCTCACAGCGCAACACCGTTAAGGACACTGTTTGCTCCAAACCGCAGAAAACACCCACCACTCACTTATCAGGTCTGTAATAGGTGATTGTTGGCAGAAAAGTATCTGTCCCTTTCATGAGGAAAGCAAAAACTTCTGGAGAGGTGCCTAGTAGGTTCTCACATTTCATTGACCTTAACTAAAATGTTAAGTGCAGGGGGAACCGGGAAAGTAGGGTCAGGGTTGTTCTGATTTTTTACCTCAGGCAGACAGACAACACTGCTGCTCAGGACAATACTTGAGCGTAGAACTTAAAGGATTTCTGACGGTATCTGCCACAAAATGGACTCCTATACAAATCTTTTCCATAGTTTCATCTGCTTTAATGAAACAATTTTCATATTGACTGGCATTTGGGTGTCTATAACATTATGTTGTGGTCTGCTGTGTTGAAATTAACAGCCAAGTAAGTTTTCCCTGCCCATATTTTCCATTGTTTCTTCCGAATTGTCTTAGTTTGCTTTCTATTGCTGTGACAAACGCTGTGAGCAAAATCAACTTGGATAGGAACTGTTTATTTTATTTTTGTTTTTTTTCAGACAGAGTTTCTTTGTGTAGCCCTGACTGTCCTGGAACTCGATCAGGGAGGATTTATTTTTCCCTGCAGGCTGTAGTCTTTGAGAGAAGCAGACAGGGACCTGGAGGCAGGAACTGAAGCGAGGCCATGGAGGAGCACTGCGTACTGGCTTGCTCCCCGAGGCTTACTCAGCCTGCTGTCTTAGGTCATCTAGGACCACTTGCTCATGGGTGGTGCTGCTATGGTGGGATTGACCATCCCACGTCAGTCACTTGCTTACCAGGCCAATCTGATGGAGGCATTTCCTCACTGAGCTGTCCTCTTCCCACGTAGTTCAGTATGTATCGGGTGGACAAGAAGTAACCAGAACAAGGATGAAATGCTAGCTATCATTGGGACGTGCACTTTTAAAAGAATTTTGGAGCCGGGCGTTGGTGGCGCACGCTTTTAATCCCAGCACTCGGGAGGCAGAGGCAGGCGGATCTCTGTGAGTTCGAGGCCAGCCTGGTCTACAGAGTGAGTTCCAGGACAGCCTCCAAAACCACAGAGAAACCCTGTAGATGAAGAGGCCACTTTTTTCCTGTATGTTTATCAGACACCGGATTTTAACATTTTCATTAGTTGTATATTCTTTTTTTTTCTTTTGAAAAGTACCCTGCCTTTACTCTCATTTTGGTTATTGGCTATATGTGCTTGTTTTTGTTTGTTGTTTTGTTGGCATTATGGTCTAAAAATGTGTTTTGAAATGTGTTAGCTCTGGACAGCTTTGAGACACCGTCTATATTCCAGCTGGCCTGCCTAGTTTTAGTGGTCAAGACATGAAACATACTAATTAACAGTGCTTCTTTTTAACCACTGGCCCAAGGAATTTCAGGGCATTTCGACCCAGTTTGCTATACTTGGTTTATAGATAATAATGAGAGTGATGATTAGTCTGTGATCGTACTACAAACCCCTATTACCACAGAGCTCTGGTGTTCAGAAAAATAGCTAGGTGCCTAAATACTAAGACCTAAATATATATTCTCAGGATTGATGGTAGCAGCAGCTCAACTGTGTAGAAGTTGCAGCATGAACAGTTCTTTTCTGACCTATAAGTTAGACTATGAATAGCTAGCTAATGTATGCTGGAAATATTTGGGAAACATCACTCTGAAAAGTAAAAGAAGAAGTTATTCTGCTACTTTAGTGAAGAATGGGGATACATGAACTTAGAAACAGCTAGCCATAGCTATCCCGATGGGGAACATGACAGTGCTGTTTCAAAAATAATTTATTGGTTTAAAGTTTATGAATAATAGGTCTTTGGTCCCTAGCTTGAATTTTCTTAGTATTAACAGCCATTATTATAATCAAAATAAAACCATAATGCCATAAATCTAAGATACTTCAGACATTTTCCTATATAGTAGCATATAACTATATCATATTACAATTATAGAAATAATTTGTATTAGATTTTATATTGCTTGCATAGTTGTTGCACTCCATAGTTTTTGCACACATTATAGTCTTGCATATAAATTCTAAATATTTACTGGCTCAGAAAAATATTCTCGTTGGGTAGTGGTGGCACACACCTTTAATTCCAGCACTTAGCAGGCAAAGGCAGCTGGATCTCTGTGAGTTCCAGGTCAACCTGGTATACAGAGTGAGTTCAAGGACAGCCAAGGCTACAAAGAGAAACCCTGTCTCAAAAAACCAAAACAAAAAAAAAAAAGAAGAAGAAAGAAAACAGAAAAAAAGGAAGAAAAAAAGAAAAATATTTTTGGAGTCCACATACACTTCAGATTAAATGCATAGAAAAAGAAATTAAATGGTATTTGCTGTGTGTGAATTTGAAAAAGAGTGAATTATTGAAGTGTGTAGTGATAAGGTAAACTTGGTACTAAAACATGGTGTGGAAATGTATGACTCCTACAGGAATATACTTAGCTATCTCTGTCAAGATAGTAAAGATTAACCCAGTGCAAATAAGAATGCAGACAAGATCAGCCTGGTCTACAGAGCTGGCTCCAAGACAGCCAGAGCTACACAGAGATCCTATCTTGAAAAACAAAAATCAAATAAACAAAAAAGAATGCAGAGGCAGGTGGATCTTTGAGTTTGGGGCCACCCTGGTCTACAGAGCAAGGTCCAGGACATCCAGGGCTACACAGAGAAACTGTCTTAAAAACCAAAAAAAAAAAAAAACAAACAAACAAAAACCAACCAACCAACCAAAAAAAAACAAAAAGAATGTAGACAAAATTGAACACTCTCTCTATTGTATGTAGAAATATCATGGGGGTGTAATGTAAGTAATGTTTAATGTGGATCGATTTGGCAATACATAAACAGGCACAAAACAGACCTTGGACTTAATAAATCTGTACCTTTAAGTCAAGTTGTGTAAGATAATCTTATATCCAGAAAATCTTCCTACACAAGGATATTTACTGTAGCGTTGTTTATAATGACAAGATTATAAGCAATTCAGACACTCTCAAGATGAAGAATTGGGGAATGGTGAAAGCACTGAAACACTACATTGTAGTGATAAAGGACAGTATAGTTACATAGCAGAGTTGAATGAAGCTGCCCAGTGGCCTGATAATGTTTGTATGCTGCTGTTTTAAACGCATGCTGCTGAGCAAAAGCAAGGCGCAGAAGTGTTCTATAGCAAGTCATCTTTGGGGGCTGTAGGTCTGTGCATATTTGCTGATATTTTTCAAAACAAAATACTGGGAAGAAAAAGCAAGAATTAATAAAAGTGCTTTTCTCCTCCCAAAGGTGGAAGAAGAAATACGGAATGTACAAAGGCAGGAGCTAGATTTCTCTGAATGTATTTTGTTTCATACTTTCTGTTCTTTGTGTCTTAGTTTGATATAAAATATAGCCTCTTCGGCTGGAGAAATGTCTCAGCCATTAAAGGCTAGACTCACAACCAAAACATAAAATATAGCCTCCACTGATAGCCATCTCTCAGTTTTCATACCCTTGTGATGTCCCACCAACAGGGCTTTGTGACCTCTTCTATAATTAGGTTTTAGACACACGTGGCTTCCGTTTTACTCCGTCTCTCTCCTGGATCATTTGTTCTCTGGGAAATTGTTTGCCTGTCCAAGTGAGGTTCCATGTGAGGAGAATCTGAGCCCAATGAGAGCCATGTGAGGAGGGCCATCTTGGAAGCCACACCTGCAGCTCCGGACAACCCTTGAGGTGCTTGCAACTCCAGAGTCTGCCTTAAGTGTCTCTAAACCAGAACTATGAAACTAAGCTGCCCCGAGTTTCTGACCACTGAAAACTATGAGAGAAAACGATTGTTATTTTATGCCGCTAGTGTTTCTCACTAATGCGAGAACTATAAAATTGGTTTTTAATAATTTAAAAACTGAATATAAACAAAAAAGAAAATAGAGATAGTCTTTAAAAATTAAAGATGAACTGGAAAAAAAGGAACCCAACTATAAAGCTGGTGGCCAAAGTACATAGTAATTATTTCAAGTGACTTATAGACAGATTATTTTTACGTATTCCCAGTGGCTGGGTCCCAAGGACAAAACAACTAGATAAATCTTAAATGACACTCAGTGACCTAATTGTCACTAATAACATTGATATTATTATCTTGGAACTATATCTGTGTAGTGGGATAAATCAGATAGATCATTAAGAACTAAGATATTACACATGAGAGGAAAGATGTAAATCAAGAAAATTAACTGGAAACCCGTTTACTCCTTAGATTGGAAATAGCAGTATTTAGTCATAATTTCTTTTTCTAAAAGGCACAGCTTTCTTAGTCCTGTTCAATGAAGAAACAAGAAAGAAATTATACCAAAATGTCAGTCAAGACTGTATGCAGAGTGGGATGATTAAATATCATTTAAAACAAACAAATGTTCAGAGCTCCTTAGAGAATGGCTAATTCCAGTTCTGAGGCAGAATAGATTCAAGACAAACCTGGAAGTTTCCCAGACTAGAAATTAAGGATGAAATTGAGACTCTACACTTTCTTCAGAGCTCTTACTGGCCCAGGGTAGAACAAAGTCTAACTGTTGGTAGTGTGGCTCAGTGGAAGAGAGCTTGCTTGCCTAGCGTGTGCAAGGCCGAGGTTCAAACTCTAGCACCCTTCCCCCTGAAACAAAGCTTGTGACTGTGAGACACTCTACACATTTATACAACTTTTTTTTTAACTCACGGGTTTCAAAATGATGCTAACTAACTAACTGACTGAATGCTCTGGAAGTTGCTAGGATGCCAAGCTAGTAATTATAGGATTGGCAGATGAAGGGGAAGAAGACTGCGCGCTGCCTGTCTTTTATAACTCTAGACGGATCCAGAATGATAGCTTTATTTTGGAAGGATTCACACTGAGAAAGAGTATCAGGGTTGGGAGATAGCCAAAAGGCATAATTGGAGATATACAAATGCTTCTGTCATCAGTGCGGGCAGTCCATGCCCATACAATACGTAAACATTCATCCAATCATTTTCTTAGTATTTATTATGTGTTTTATTGTAGATAAAGCAACCTGGTTTTTTGTGGGTACCATACAAAATAATGGGCACTCTTACATATATAACATTGTACTGAAACTCACCAGCCCATGGCCCTCTCCTGTCCCTCTTTTTCCCTCTTGTTGGTCCCCTTCTTCCCTGAAAATAGTCTCCTTTCTATTTTTAGCTAAAGTATACCTTAGTAATTTCGCCTCATTTCTAAAAATTACAGACCTGTGTCACCATGCCCATTTTTAGGGGAAGAGAGCTGGAACCCAGGACCTCTCACTGGCTAGGCACACATAGGACATTGCCACGATGGTGTGTGGCAGTGCCTATAGCCTCAGTTTTGACTAGAAACACCCTAAGCCGCACATCTGCTATGCTGGTGGCTTCCCATTTAGCTCAGGCTACGAGGGGCATGGAAGGAGACTGACAGTCTGGAGGAGGGTGAAGGAACTTAAATGCTTTCTCTTCTTCCTTCCTGTCAGCTTCCTGTGCCTCTCGGCTTCCCCCAGAGACACTTCGCCTAGGTACCAGCTGTGCCTTTTCTGGGTCTCCAGCTGAGCCGCTTGCAGTTAACCAGCCTGAGAAATGCCAGCATGAGGTAAGCAGCATCCCTTCATGGGGCCTGGCGCCCGGCCCCATAGACCCCTCCTCCCAGTTTTTTTGTGAACCCCCTTCCTGAGACGGTCATTGCTTCTTGTAGCCACTGCCTCCAAATACCACAGAGTGTGCCTTTTACCCCTTGGCTTAAAGCTATGACTATGGCGTCCTGTCCTAGACTAGCTTTTGACTCACAGACACAGTCTCCCATTAGTCACTGGTAAGCGGCATTAACCCTGTGGAATTCCTGCTAGCGATTGCAAGTTGGGCCAGTGCATGTTAAATTGATAAGGGAGAGGGACAATGTCTACAACATAGCCAAATGGCTCTTATAAAAGAATTGATTTCTTTTTTTCTTTTTGGTTTTTTCAAGACAGGGTTTCTCTGTATTGTTTTGGAGCCTGTCCTAGGAACTTGCTCGGTAGACCAGGCTGGCCTCGAACTCACAGAGATCCATCCACCTGCCTCTGCCTCCCGAGTGCTGGGATTAAAGACATGCGCCACCAATGCCCGGCCATCAAGAATTGATTTCTTATTGCACAAGCCTTCATTGTCTTTGAAAGACAGTTCGTTATTACAGATAAGACTGCAGCCCTCTCCATCTACCCTCCCAATCTCTATTCCTCTCGTGAAGCAACTGCCATATTAGTTATCATTTATGTGTACTTTTTTTCTTTTATTGTGATTTTATTGTCTTCATAACACGATCAGCTTAGAACTGGATCACTTGGCCCTTTCTCTTCTTATCGCCTCCCAGTTCAAAATGCTTGCATCTCTTAATAGCCAGCATCCTCTTAGATCTGCAGTTGGACTCAACACACTCAAGCCTCAGCACAATCTTCTTTGTAGTTTTAGCCTTTTTCCGGAAAATAGGCTTAGTCTGCCCACCATAGCCACTCTGTTTCCTGTCATAACGCCGCTTTCCCTGGGCATACAAAGAGTCCTTGCCCTTCTTGTACTGTGTCACTTTATGGGGCGGGTGCTTGCCACATTTCTTGCAGAACGTCCGGCGGGTCTTAGGAACGTTCACCATGTTGGTGGGAACGATATCGGCACAGAAAGCTCATTTATGTGTACTTTTTAACTATAAATATTCTATTGACATATAAGGCATTTCTGTAGGTTTTTAAATTTCAGTTCATGGTACAATTATCTTTCTTGCAATTTGCCTTATTCACTAAATAATTTGTCTTGGAAGTCATTACATATAGTTAATTTCTTTTTAACTACTGCATAATAGTCCTCAGCATGTTTATACCGTGGTTTATGTTGCTTTCTGCTCTGTTTTGACCATTACAAAAGCTCTATGATTTATACTAGTGTCCTTGTTGTTTCTCTAGGGTAGATTCAGAGTAATAGAAATGCTGGGTCAAAAAGAATGCATATTTTAAAAATTGCATTAAATGTTAACAAATATGTTCTCTTGCTAGATGGTGATGGCAAACATCTTTAATCCCAACACTTGGGAGGCAGAGGCAGGCAGATCTCTGAGTTCAAAGACAGCCTGGTTTACAGAGCCAGTACCAGGCTACACAGAGAAACCCTGTCTTGAAAAACCACAAAACAAACAAAAAAAGCCAAATATGTTCTCTTAAAATACAGTTTCAGGGGCTGGAGAGATGGCTCAGCAGTTAAGAGCACTGACTGCTCTTCCAGAGGACCCAGGTTCAATTCCCAGCAACCACATGGCAGCTTGATAGCATCTGTGTAACTCAAGTTCTGAGGGATCTGGAACACTCACACAGACATTCATGCAGGCAAAAACACCAGTGCGCACAAAATGAAAAAATACAGTGCCAGTTTTCAAGTAGACCAGGAGACTGTCAAGTCCCTTCTTCTCACGGGACTTCCATGGCTGCCTTAGCTTACGTTTCCCATCTAGCACCACTCTGGGCATCTTTAGCTGACACATCTGTTAGTTCTTTAGTGGGGGAGACAGCTGTTCATCATCATCATCAATCAGTAGGGCTCTGAGCCCCGGGCACTGTATCAGCGAGATACATCCCTAGCCCTCCTTTTCCTTTTTATTTGGAGATGGGGTCTTAATAGGTTGCTCAGGCTGTCCTTGAATTCTGACCCTCCTGCCTCAATCTCCCCAGTAACTAGGATTATAGGCCCATGTCAACAGATCCAGCTTTAAGCATTGTTTTAAACCTCACAGATCTTGGTTTCTTTGGTAGCTTATTTCCTCTGAAACCGCAGAAAGTGTCAAATCTGTTTTCTTCTGGACTCTTCTGTGAGCTGTAATCATACCCAAAGTTCTTCCCTATGCATACTCATCTTTTTTCTAGAGAAGTCCATGTGCAGTTACATACCAAATGTTTTTTTCCTATACACAATCTGTTTGCTTCTACATAGTTCCATATGCTGTAACCATACACAAACTTTTTGTCTAGACATGGTCGGGAAGTCAGCTTTCTGTGTGTATTCTCTTGCTCCCAGGACTTTCTCCCTTACAAGTTAATGCTGGTACCCTGATGCCGTTTCAGAAAGCAGGCTTTGATGGGAAGGTTATCACGTCGTATAATCTGGCTTTTGCTTCAGGGCAGAATCCTTGGTTTACCAGAGGAGCCCCAATGGTTGTACTGGGGCTGATCCTGCTACAGTTTTTAGATTGGCTTGCTACCCTTTTACAGGCTTGGCTGGTACTATATAATAAGTGCAAATGGATAGGTGGGACATTGTATGGAAAGAGCTGTGAAAGATCAACATGGGGTCAATGCTGTGCATTCAAGTTCCACAGAATAGACCTAACCTAAGAAGCCAAAGAACAAACCACCCGAAAGGTAGGTAGGTTATTCAGCCATGAAGAAGCCAGGACTCAGTGCAGAATAGTGGTGTCCTAGTATGCCACAGAAGCCTGCAGTTGCCCTTGACCTGGGTAGCAGCTCAAACAGGAGATGGGTGAGAAATGGCCTTGTGATAGTCTCCCACAAGATAGGGACAAGAAACTCCCTTGCTGCAGCTTTTCTTTATCTCTGCCTGTTCCAGGAGCAATCACAGGGCACTCTGCCAACACTCCCTTCAGACTGCAGTTAAGCCTTGTTCATGTGGCCTAGATGAAGATGTGCAAAGTCACAAGCATGTCACACTGGGGCCAGTCCCCTACACTAGGTTACACAAAGCTCTTCTCAGCCTTCTTTTGGGATTTTGGATGAAAGGGCGGGTCACTCTTTAAACCCAGTCCCCAAATTTCCCAACTCTGACTTCTGACTTCTCCTTTTGACCAGCCAGTTCTTGCCCCACCTGTCTTCCTGTCTCCTCCCTTTGCTAAGCACAGCAAATAACCACCAATGCACGCCTCACATTGCCTCCTGTCCCTTTTCCATGAAGTTATTGGCACAGGAGGCATTTTGTATGGCTTCCAATTTATCACAGGTGACATTTTAATCAAGAATTTTGCTGCTTTTTAACGTGGCTTTCCATCTTTCTGACCTCCAATATCAGTTGCCTCACTGCCCACTGCTCAGAAGCCTTGCTTCAAAAATGCAATTGCTCATCTTATTGTACTGGGGAGGTGAACAGGCCAAAGGGCAACTCTCCTGTAAACAGTCAGAAACCCTGGCTGCCAGGGGCTCTGCCGCTTTTAACACATAGCAACCAAAGTCATCACTGAGAGAGGAAGGTGCAGTCCTAGCTTTTGCAGCACGCTGGAAGGGGAGAAAAGCTGCTAAGAGTATTGGAGTTTTATAGGAACAGGCTCATGAGATTTCTTCTCGTATTCTACCATTGATCATCTCATTATATGCGCTGGGGATGTGGCTTGGTTGGTTGAGTGCTTGCCTAGCATACTTAAAGCTCTGGCTTCCATCCTGTAGTGCTTATATTGGAGCATGGGTGGTGCCCACCTGTAGTCTCAGTGCTCTGAGGGTGAAGGCAGGAGGATAAGACATTCACAGGTATCAGGTATGTATCAAATTCCAAGCCAGACAGCGTGGGCTAACATGAGACCCTTGTCTCAACACAGACGCTGCACATGCATGCACATGCGCACACACACACACACACACACACACACACACACACACACACACACTCACACAAAAACCAAACCATAGTTCCATCGTGTGGTTACATCTCCCTGTAAGGGAGGTCAGGAAATGTGTGCCCAGGAGGAAGAGGAAGGTATAAGTGAGGTGAGCGCTAGTGTCTCTGCTACAGGCACGATGGTGTATTGGCAATGATGGTGAAAAAATGCCCAGACTATGAGATTATGCTGCAAGTGGGAGCATCAGAACCTGTTGACTCCAAGGTGTCTGGCCTGAATAATTGGGAAGAATAGAGTTACCATATAGCAAGATGGTAGATAATGAAAACTCACTTTTTGGAATGGAATTTTTGAGATAGCTATAAATATGTACATCGAATAGGCAGTTAAATAAGCAAGTCTACCATTCAAAGGCACACTCAAAACTGGATATGTAAGAGTAGGATAAGGACACTTCACTCTAAACAGGAACTTGTATTTCTTTTTCTTTTCTTTCTTTCTTTTTTTGGTTTGAGACAGGGATTCTCTGTTTAACAGTCCTGGAACTCACTCTGTAGACCAGGCTGGCCTCAAACTCACAGAGATCCACCTGCCTCTGCCTACTGAGTACTGGGATTAAAGGTGTGTGCCATTACCACCTGGATACTTTAGGGAGGAGCTCATGAGCTCTACCTCAACTGAAGAGCCATTGACAGTTGGTGGCTTCTTGGGGACAAAGAGAAGGTTTTTAAAAAGGGTGTGATTCCTGGTAGGTCAGTCATGCTCTAGGGTGTGGATGGTCCCACACCCAGGGTTATAGAATCAGCACGAACTGGACTTGATGGTTTATTTTTAAGAAAGAAAAAAAAAGAGGTCAGAAAGTTGGGAGGGGGTGTCAAGGTGGAGTTGTGTATCTGGGAGGAGTTGGAGGAGTTAGAGGGAGGAGCAGAGGTGATTATGATCAAAGTAGTTTATATAAATGACTCAAAGAATAAATAAAAATACCACATATTAGGGGAACAGAGGGGAGGGGA